CATCCATCCTTTAGCTGTCATGCACAGTTTGTGGGTGGAGACCAGGAATTTTGGTCCAGCTTTCACACCGGGCAGACATATCGGTACCAGCTTCCTGTCACTACACCTGACCAAACTATGCAATAAATCTTGTTATCTAACAATGGTGCCTTTTCTGAAGATACACTGTGATGGTGTATCTTCTACCATTAATCACTGGATAGGCCTAAGGCAAAGAAAGGTTCGTAGCAATGAACAACCTCAAATAACCTTTCCCTAGAACCACAACTGGTAAAGATAGCTAAAGTATCACAACCTGCCAAGGGTGGTCATCTGGGATAATACGACATTTCCTCCTTTTCCCTACCTACTCCCCAATAACTTCTCTCTACCTCCTCCATATACACACAATGGAACTTTTATATATGTTCCACACACTCACTGCTCAATATGTTAACTCTCCAACTTTCTATGCCTTTATTCAAAATGATTTGTGTATTTTTTTGTGTCTCTGACCCTTCCTGCAGTAGTAGCATCTGTTTGTTAAGCCACAGTCAAATATGGTCTCGATTAGATACTGGCTTTGCTCAACCGAACGCACAGTTTTTATTAAAAGTGAATCTGTAAACTGTTTGAGTTTGTGCCGTGTTTCCAGATGTCATTGACACAAAAGGTCCTCTCAACTCTCAGTGGCAGATGTTGTGCAGTGCCATTTTCCAAGTGGTTGTTTTGATTGCCAAAATCCCAAGGTCAACAAATGATTTGTGACTTATCTCCACCCCATCCCTTGCCTGCAATACAGTTATTCTCCCATATCACAAAGGACAAGCGATCTCTTTCTTTTGTGTTCACCAATTTATAGGATGTTTCTCTTTTGTTACGTGTATGCTTACACCCATATCTGTTATGTAGTTCTTATTTATTAGCATGTATGTGCTTGCTCCGTAAATGCATGTGTTTTCAGTGAGAGGCTTTTTCTGGATTAAAAGATGAATTAAAGCTGATGCTTTTGATTTATGGCAGTGCCAACTGTAGCCCTCATTCAAGATGCAGAAACGTCAGTGCAAAATAATTTTGAATGCTACGTAGAATGTTTTACATTTTAAATTTACCCACTGAGCTTCTTTGTGCAGACATGTACTCAAACTCACTTTTTCAAATCTGGCCTTTTTTTCTTTAATTCTTGTGTTGCCAAAATACAAACTCAGTTGGAATGCTGGAATTATTTAGGGGATGGAGAGGATAATGTGAGTTGCTGCCTATGTGAAGCCCTTGTATTTTAAAATCTAGTCTCGGTAGAATTATTTTGGCTTCAGCTTTTGTACCAGTGAATGAGGAACTTCAGTTTTGTTGTTGGTTCAGTTAACAGGTCACAGAAAGTGATGATCAGAAATATTCATTTCCTTCTGAGCATACGTTTTATGATTATTTTAGTTTATTGAATCAGAAAACACTGAAGCAGGCCATTCAGCCTGTTGTGGCTGTGACAATCCTTGTAGGAGTTCCCAATTAGTTCCACATGCCTACTATTTCTGCCTTTTCTTCTGTGGACACCTGCCTTCCTTTTGCATTTTACTATTGACCATCCATCCACCATCCTTTTAGTTATTTCATGAGATAGAAACCACTGAAAACATTGTTTCCTCGTAAGGGAGGTAGTGGCATTATGATAACATCACTGGACTAGTAGTAATTAATCCCAAGCTAATGTACTGCTGGGGTGTGGGAGGTTCATGGGTTCAAATCCTACCATGGCAGATTGTAAAATTTCAATTCAATAACAATCCATAATTTAAAAACTGCCTGTAAATAATGAAAGGGGAATGAGCAGTGAGACCTGGTTGGCCTTGTACACCAGTCACGAAAGGTGTGCAGCAGATGGTAAAGAAGGCAAATGGTATGTTGGCTTTCACATGTACAGGCACAGGGATGTCTTGCTCCAACTGTACAAGCCATTGTAGTTGTGCGTAGTTTTGTTCTCATTGTCTGAGGAAGGATATTCTTGCTATAGAGGGAGTGAAGCAAAGGTTTACCAGACTGATTCTTGGGATGACAGCACTGATGTAAGAGGAGAGGTTGCATCAGTTCAGATCATATTAGTTGGAGTTCAGAAGAATGAGGGGGAATCTCATGGAAACCTATAAAATTCTAACAGGGTAGTTGCAGGAAGGATGTTCCAGATGACAGGGAGAGTCCAGAACCAGGGAATCACAGTCTAAGTATGTAGGTTAACACTGAGATGAGGAGAAATGTCTTCCCCCAGAGAGTGGTGAGCCTGTGGAAATTGCTGTCACAGAAAGCAGTTGAGACCAAAAACATTGTATGATTTCAAGAAAGAGTTGGATATAACATTTGGGTCTAAAGGGATCAAAAGACATGGGAAAAAGTGGAAACAATCTAAATATGTTGAATGATCAGCCAAGTTCATTATGAATGGCAGAGCAGGCTTGAGGGGTCAAATGGTCTAATGCTTTTCCTAATTTTTGATGTTTCTATGAGCACTATTCCAATTCAAACAATCCCATTTTTTCTGGTCTCTCCAGATAAAGGAATCCCCTTAACCCATGTACCCATTCTAATAAATTTCCATGGCCTTCTTCCAAGGCCTTGGCATCTTTCCATTGTGGTGCAGTGCTCTGAATTGGATGCAGTTCTTTAGTTGAGGGCTAGGCTGAGCTCAATTTGGATTTTGGGTTTTGAGGAATTCAATGGATATGAGGATGGTATGGGAGAGCAGAGGTAGGGAAGAAGATCAAGCATGATGTCATTTTATTTCACCATTCATTGAAGGATGGAACAAGTTCAAGGGGTTGAATGGTCCTACTCCTACACCTATGTTCCCATGTTTGTAACCAGAGACTAACAAAAATTTTGCATAACTGTGTGGCAGAAGAGATTTACAGGATATTGCTGGGTATGGAAGGTTTGAGTTATAAAGAAAGGCTGCATAGACTGGGACTTTTTCACTGGAGCGTAGGAAGTTGAGAGGTGACATGATAGAAGCTTATGAAATAATGAGAGGTACAGATAGAGTTAATAGTATCAGAGATAGTAGGAACTGCAGATGCTGGAGAATCCGAGACAACAAGGTGCAGAGCTGGATGAACACAGCAGGCCAAGCAGCATCATAGGAGCAGAGAGGCTGACGTTTCGGGCCTAGACCCTTCATCTCTTTTCCCTAGGATGGGGGATTTCAAGAGAAGGGGGCATATTTTTAAGGTGATAGGAGAGAGATTTAAAAAAGACACGAGAGGCAAATTTTTGACACAAAGGGTGGAATCTGTGTGTGGAATGAACTTCCTGAGGAAGTGGTGGATGTGGGTGCGACATTTAAAAGACATTTGGATAGGTACACGGATAGGACAGGATTGGAGGGATGTAGACCAGGAGCAGGCAGGTGGGACTAGTTTAGTTTGGGATTATGTTCGACGTGGACTAGTTGAACCAAAGAGTCTGTTTCCGTGCTGCACGACTCTATGACTGTATAACTTAGGTAACAGGAGTCAGGAAAATTCTTTGGATGGCTTCAGCCTGCTCCAGGAGAAAATGCCAAGGATGTGTTGATGCACAATGTGTGGGGTGTAGTCTGCCAAACCAGCTCACCTGGGAAAGAGCTTGGAGGCAAACACAGCAGCAGCTGGATGGAGAGTCAGGCTGTTTAAAAGGCTCACCTCATTGCTGTGGGACTTAATCTCAGTTGGAATTAAAAAAGAAAAGCCCTTCAGCCCTCACCCTCACCACACACTCATCATGCCCCCTCCATGTCAGACTATGGCACTTTCATGCCCATTCATCCAATGTACACTTCATTAGAAGCAATGAGCTCTATTGTGAGAGCTATATGTGCTTAAAAAGCTTTAACAAACACTGCCACCCATTGATAACTTTCCATTTTGTTACAGAACCATCTTTCTACTATATGCCAGTGAATGTGTGATTCATCCAGACCCTTTGAAGTTTCAATAGCTGAACCCAAAACCTTAACTTAAATAGATGTTATACTATTGATAACCAAGATCAGACAGTCAGAGCTGCCAATCAAGCTGGGGCTCAGGTGTTTCAGGCGAATAATGGATGTCTGGTCTCCCTGCTTAGGGAAATAATGACAGTTAACAATTTGGCACAAGGGGACCTAGGGTTGGGTCGAGGAGCATAGCCTGACATGGGGGAGCATGAGAAAAAACATGATGTTTCTGAAGGTCCTTCACGCAGATTATCTTGACACCACCTCTGAGATGCCTTGAATGCAACTCTTTCAAAACCTAGCCCAATTCACTGACATTATGGAAGACTCAATAAATTGATAGCAAGAAAAAGCACAAAACAAGCACAAGCAATGATCTGAACTTGAACAGAATTACATGGAGAGTGCTTTTTGACTCCTGCAGTTTATGCAAAGCATTTGCAAAGCACTTCAATAAAACGTCACCAGGTATTTCACATCAGCAAGAATAATCAGACAGTGAACAGTGGAAGCAAATGAATTAAGGATAGTCAGCTAAATCAAGATTAGAGAGCATGATTATCAAAAGGTTTTTGAAGGCTGGGAGAGAGAGTTAAAACCAGGTGCAGAAGTTTATGGAGAGCATTTCAAAGTGGTATTGAAATGGGTAAAGACTGTACAACACAAAGTGGAGCTGTGGGACTGAAAAGTTAATTTGAAACAATATTTGTGTAATTTGCATATATTGCAAGTTGCAGATGACAACAAAGTTCAGTGTTCTAAATGAGAAACTATTCACCAATGGGACAGCAACACTAAGAACAGTTTTTCCTAAACCTCCAGTTACTCAATTAAAACTGGACAACTCTGTGTTGAGAGTAGTTGCAAATAGAACTGCATCGTCTTTGCTTTGTGACCCAGATTGCCAAGGCTTGAGGTATGATAATAAATAGTTGCACACTGCCCAGACAAAATTAAGCATCCTTCTTTGTTAAGTAAGAGTTCACCATGAAGGTCCTACCTACACATAGACCCAGGAATAACATATTTACTCAAACTTGAAGTTTATTGCCAAATTATTAGCCACTGAGTCACAATATCAAGGTACATAAACAGGCTAGAATTTCTCATTATTGTATTTATTGATCATATTAAATGTTAGCTAACAATGAAACTGACTCAATTGACTTAATTTAAATAGAGTGATTGATTCTTATTGCAGAATCTTCAGAACTTAAGACCAAGTCTTGCAGCTCTTCTATGCATAACAAATTCGGGGAAGGCAGACACCTTGAATCAACATTATTATCATTATTAAAACTTATATAAAACATACACGAAAGTAAGTTCCAAATAAGTGTTTAACAAGCAATGCAGATACAGCCTCAACCATAATCAGTTACATGACCAAAAAAGTTAACCAAACCATACGGTCGTTGTCCAAAAATTATAGTAGACCAAGGTCACCGAAGACAACTACGTGAATATTAATGTTGACCAATCAACCTGAAATGTATTCACGTCTGTTGTAATACATACATTTTAAAACTTAAACTTTATGTTTTTGGACCATACGAGGTAATGGCCCTTGATTTCAGTCTGTTGTTTTCTGGAAAGGTTTTACAATCACTGTTGCAGAGCACAACCTGTGTGGGCAATGGCAGTTTCTCCTGGAAAGACACATTTGTCTTCATTACAAACTACAATAAATATCTGAAAAGTCCAGATGACTATCAGGATGTAGGTGATGCAGACAAACAAAGTCAACTCTGTGGTTACCCCAAGACCCCCTGATTAGCATGCTCAGTTATGGCACGTTGGAGGGCATTACAAGTCAACCACAGAGTATGGGATGGTACAGACCACGCTGCCTGAGGGTGACAGATTCCTTTACCTGAAAGCTATTAGTAAACAAGTTGGGGTTTTGGCTCTTCGACAATTTTCACAATCACGTTCCTGCTGCTCACCCACAAATCAGCAGATTTATTGAATTTAATTCAATTTTATCATTTGACTTCGTAAGTTCTCAATTGCTAGTGTAGTACCCTAACCACTATAAAGCCATAACCATTTAAAAGATGGCCAAACATATTGAGGATTATTTGAAATGGATATCAACTAATAAGGCATGAAAAGTTCACAAATTGAAAATGATTACAATTGTTTTGTAAGGAGTATCTACTGCAGTGGTATGGGTCACTGCTTCAGAAATTCTGAGTTCAAGTCCCAGTACAGGACATGATAGCCACAGAAGTTGTTTTCATACTGTAGCCAAACAGGTTGAGTATTGACTCACAAATCTTTTTGTCACATCCCAATGGAAGGCAGGAAGAATCATGTGAACTCAAGAAAGTATTCATAGTTGCAGACTACAATGTGAATGCTGCCATGGCAGTGTGGATTCTTTGGGGGTCTGGATGACCGGTGTGGATCAGATTGGTGACCTGGTTAGGGTGAGTTTTGAACGTACATCATTGTCCTACCTGTGCTGTGAGTCTAACCTGTCTTTGGGCAAAGAAGTGAAGAAAATAGAAAGAATATACTTCAATATATAATATCCTCTGCCTAAAACAAAATAATTTTCCAGTTTAATTCATACTCAATTGTTCTAAAGATTTGCCCAGCTATTTGATAAAAATATGAGCTTTAACTTGAAAGGGTATGGTTGCAATACTGCCAATATCATATCCCATTCTTTATCTGAATGGATATTCTTTATCTGTGAATGTCAGCAGGTTGTTTAGTCTTGGTAAGCTTGATCCTTTCCTCTTCTGTCCTTCATATACATGCAGGAGAGCAACAAGAAGAAGGGACCCCTGTCATTTATTTCTTTCCCCTGAGCCAAGCAGTGCTGAGGTCAGTTGTAGCTTCTTAACCACTTCCTAGCTAAGGCCAGAAAGCTTACTATAGACTACAAGGTCCTCTGGATCATCCAGCTTGTCCTGTAATACTTTGGGTCAACCCAATAAACCCCCCAACTGAAACTTTCTGATCTCCTGGGAGAGGTATAAAATCAAATAAAACATCCTACTCTGCAAAGTGAAGAAGGAACATCCAAATGTAAGTATAGATGCAGTGCATTGAGGGGCACAGAGGAGTGAAATTACGCACCAGCGTTGTCCTGCCCCAAATTGCTGGGATGCAGGTTTTGTTCTTGCCTCATTTTGATTTTCCAACTGCATTATTTTTCTGGAAAAAAAATGGCCAGATACCTCCAACTAGATTTGAAAACTAATAATCTTCAGCAATGGAGCTACCTACACCTGCAAATTGTCCTAAAATGTAAGAATGGACAGCGTAAAGTGAATAATTAAGCTGTGTGGTGGTTAGTTTGGGAATTCTCTGGCCTCTACGTTTAACATCGTATGCCTTTATATTTGCTGGAATTTCCATGGTCATGCCTATTGCCTTCTCTCTATTGGTTTAAAGGGTTCATTACTCGCCCCATGAACAGCAGTGATTGAGTGTGATGCTCGAGGATGAAGAACAGGAATGGGCGATTGGCCATAAATTTGGCCTGTGAAGATAAAGGCATGAAGCCAGAAAGAGAGACGGCAGCAACTTCACTTCCTTCCTCATCCACCTTCAGTGTAACATGTTGCTTCAGCTGTGGAAAAGAAGAAAGTAAAAGGATGTGAATATTGGTAAAGTCAGCAAATATTTGATATGCATTCATATAACTCACTGAGTAGCTCTGTTGGTGCACACCACTAACTGGTGAGTTATATCTATCAGGAGCATGTTTCTAAATTAGATCTTCTGAATTATCCAATCTCAGCTTGGATAGCAACAGGGCCCAAAGCCTAAGGAGAAGTAAAATGAACAAGATTCACCTTAGTTGTCATAGAATGATACATCACAGGAGGAAGTTTCAGCCCATTTTGCAAATGCTGGTTTGTTTCAAAAGAGTGACCAATTAATCCTATTACCGTAACAAAAACCAAAAGAACTACAGATGCTGGAAATCAGAAACAAAAACAGATATTGCTAGAAAAGCTCAGCGGATCTGGCAGCATCTGTGGAGAGAAATCCCTCTGAGGAAGGATCACTGGGCCCGAAATGTTAACTCTGTCCTTTTCTCCACAGATGCCACTAGACCTGATGAGCTTTTCCAGCAATTTCTGTTTTAGTCCTACTACCCTGCTCTATCCACATGGTCCTGAAGACCACCCACCTTTTTAATAGAGATTCAGTTCCTTTGTACAAGATGCTGTTGAATCTGCTCCTCCCAGCACCTTTTCAACATTGTATCCTAGATGTGTTTTGGTACTTATTTGAGCTCTCCATTTTCTGGTTACTGACCTTCCTGCCAGTATCTCAGTGGTGAACTGCATGCACTTGAGAAGCAGATAAGGACTGAATGAGACTTGGTTGTGAATCACCAGTGACTATCTCCCAGCTCCTTTCAGTTTTGTAATGTCCCAATACATTGTCAATGTCCATAAATGAAGGCTGATTCCTTGGACACAGTAGTGTGTAGTAGTCAGATCTCAGCACAGGTCAGAATCTTGTCTTGCAGGGAAAGGTGGGGTATATGGCCACCTGGTGCATTTTACTGGAACATAGAAATAGGAACAGGAGTAGGCCACTGGCCCCTTGAGCCTGCTGTACCATTCAACTAGATCACAGTCGTTTTTCTACCACAGCACATGGTATACACGAGATGTGGCTTTCTGTAGTTTTCCTGACGGTATTTACTTATTCACAGAGTCTGGGCATCACAGGCAAGGCCAACATTTATTGCCTATCCTGATTATTTGGCAACGAACCTTCTTAAGCAAGTACAGTCTGTCATGGCAGTTTTAATCCAACTAATGGGCTTGCAGAGAGCAATTAAGAATGAACATTGTATATTTTGGGTCTGGGGTCACACATAAGCCAGATCAAATATAACACCAGATTACCTTCCTTAAAAGGGATCAGATGGATTTTTAACAATAAACCATTAACTTAACAATCACCTTTTCTGATACTAACTTTTTATTTCCGATTTGATGAATTAATTGAATTTACTGTCTCCTGTTGCCCCAGAACAGTTTGAACCCATGTGCCTGTCCCATTTGTCCAATATCTTAACAACTTAGCTACTGAGTTGACCAATCATCATCCTACTTCTACTTCTTCAGCTATAGATTGAAGAAGTTAGGAGTGTTCTCCTTGGAAAGAAGAAAGTTGAGAGAAGATCTGACAAAGACTTTCAAAACCATGAATGGACTTGACAGAGTAGGTAGAGAAAAAAATTGTTTCTGCTTGTAAAAGAAACAGGAACAAGAGGGTATAGGTTTAAAGTGATGTGCAAATGAAGCAAGGGGGATGTGAGAAAAAAAACTCTTTTACACAGCGAGTAGTTAGGGTTTGGAATACACTGCCAGGAAATATGGCGGAGGCAGATTGAATTGAGACATTCAAGTAGGTATTGGTGTGCAGGGATATGGTGAAAAGGCAGGAGATTGGCACTAGATAATAAAGCAGGACTAGATGATAGGCCCATCAGATGGGCCAAATGGCCTCCTTCTGCACCATAATAATTCTGTGATACTTGGTGGAATTCATATACAGTGTTTATCTTCTTTGAGTGGGTAGTGAAAACACAATTGAATTACTCACCGAGCTAACATACAAATTTCCATGTTCACAAATACCAGACAGATTTGCTTTGTTGTGGAAGAGATCTGTCACGCCCAGGCCTTGAAACATTTCACTTAGGTCATAGTTGCCATGTAGAGTGAACTTTGGAACATAGACCTCCCTTGTCCTGTGAAAGAGCAGACATAAATCAGTCAGACATCCAACACTCAATTACAATATATGTGTTCAGGTAAAATATTTCACTTAAAGGGAAAGGCATGCCATAAAATTTTAATTTGTAGCTGGACCTTTAATCAGCATTACATTATCTCAGTTTTTTCAGTTCTTTTGTTGCTCTCTGTTCATCGTTGTCAATCTTCGCTATCTCCTCCCTCAGTCCAAAGACACTGACTCCTCACTGGGAATAAAACTGTGTCAGCGTCAGACCCTTTCTGAACCATTGCTCAGGGCAGTATTGATGTCAGAAGGTAATGAATGAGGCAGTCTGTATATAAAACATGTGCAAACTGGCTCAAACCAGACATGTACACCTTCAAAGAAGGGTCACTGAGTAGCAATTGAAAGCTGGAACCCAAACTGTTATTTCGCTACTTCTTCAAACTAGGGACTGAGATCAATTGTAGCTGTTATACTGTCTGACATTTGCTAACACAGTACATAGCAAGAATTGAAACATCCTGAACAAGTTCTTTCCTGGGTTTCACACCTGTGAAATTCTTCATGTCCCTTGGGAACGTCTTTCTCTATAATGTATGAGGTATTAATCCCCCAAGCATGACATCCCACTACCTCCTGATTTACTTCAACTCCTTTTCAAGTGTCCAATTTTATGGAGCTTGCCTCATTAACACGGTTTCCACTTTTTAAAGATCAATATATCTGTGACAGAGGTATTGATAGAGATCTAAAAGAAGGTTAACTAACTGATGTCTTAGCCAAGAGTGAGCAGGTTACACAGTAACATCTAACAAAAAATGGAAAAAAGCTATGGGTCAGATATATATTGTGTGAATCTTACACAATGTTCATAGGTCAATGTGAGATAAAACCATAAGAAATAGGAACAGGAGTCGGCCACTCGGCACCTCGAGCCTGCTCTGCCTTTCAATAGAATCATGACCGGTCCAATATTCCTCACATCCATTTCCTACCTTTTTCCTGTGATCTTCGGGTCCCCTACTGATCAAGGATCTGTCTCTGCAAACAACAAATGCTCGAGATCACAGCGGGTCAGACAGCATCCACAGAGAGAGAGCAAGCTAACACTCTGATGAAGAGTCATCCAGACTGGAAACATTAGCTTGCTCTCTTTCCATGGATGCTGTCTGACCTGCTGTGACCTCCAGCATTTGTTGTTTTCAATTCAGATTCCAGCATCTGTAGTAACTTGCTCCTACAAGGATCTGCCTCTCTCAGCCTTAAAAGTGCACAGACTAAGTTCCCACAGCTCTCTGTGACAAATAGTTCCAAAGACTCTCAGCCCTCTGAGAGAAGAAATTCTCCTCATCTCAGCCTTAAATTTGTCTTGTATATGGGTGAAAATAGATAATGTGATGTCCACTTTTATTTACTGGTTTGTTTCTCATTTTCAACCTCCACAACTGACTAGCATCAGTATGTAAAAGAGAACCAAACATATAAGTGTCTCCCTGTCAGTGCACAGCCTGTCTATTTGCAAACCACTGTGGGAGTTGGTGGTTTAGTGATAATGTCACTGGGCTAGTAGTCCGAAAAGCCAGGTTAATTGTCTGGGACCACAGTTCAAATCCCACCTTGGTAACTGGTGGAATTTGAATTTAATTCGTACAAAAAAAGTATGAAATATGAAACAAAGCTAGCATCTGTGATGGTGATCTTGAAACGATCATCGATTGTTGTGGAAAATGTAACTGGCCACTAATGTTCTTTAGGGAAAGAAATCTGCCATCTCTTACTCAATGTGACTCTAGACCCACGGCAATGTGGTTGACTCTTAACTGTCCTCTGAAATGACCCAGAGAGTCAAAGATGGGGAGGAAATGGCCCAGTGGTATTATCACTAGACTATCAATCTAGGAACTCAGCTAATGTTCCAGGGTTTGAATCCTGCCACAGCAGATGGTGCATTTTGAGTCCAACTGCAAAATAATTTGGAATTAAGAATCTAATGATGACCATGAATCCATTGTCGATTGTCGGAGAAAAAAACCCACCTGGCTCACTAATGTCCTTTAGGGAAGGAAACTGCCATCCCTACCTGGTCTGGCCTACATGTGACTCCAGACCCACAACAATGTGATTGACTCTTAACTGCTTTCTGGGCAATTAGGGGTGGGCAATAAATGCTAGCCCAGCCAGTTACACCCACATCTCCTGAATGAATAAAAAAATCAGTTCATGGGTATTAAAATGTTTGTCTCACCCATGCTTCCTCATGGTGACACATGAAAATGCATCTCCTGTACCCTTAGGCAAAAGCTTCAGGGAAAGCTGGAAGAGGTTTAGCCACCACGCATTCAGCATAGGCCCACTGACATGTGGACACAGCCTAGCACTCAAGAAAAGTTCTTCCTGTTGTGGGTGAATGGGTCCATTCATCTTGCGGATACCTTGGGAAAATAGAAGGTTAAAGAAGAAAACTCCACAAAAAAATCTGAAGTGGAGCCGAAAGTTGAATGAATGTCCAAAAATGTCATATTTCCAACATCCCTTCCAATCAAGCTGTTGCCAAACATAATGTTTCACTTTTGGATTCAACTGAGGAGGTCAAGATGGGCATTTTGGGCAGCTTAGGGTCTTTATAATTTTGTCCAGGCTTGTGACCCAGACAGGACACTCCAGTTTCACTACAGAGCATTAACACAGCACAGGAGATAGGTGTACAATAGAGCTAACCACCAGAATGTAAACTAACTCTTACAAAAAAGGGTGCCACTATTCATATCTCCAGGGTTAGCACTGTGGCCGGCATTGCTACTTCACAGCACCAGGGACCTGGGTCTGATTCCAGCCTTGGGCAATTGTCTGTGTGGAGTTTGCACATTGTCCCTGTGTCTGTGTGGGGTTTCCTCTGGGTGCTGTGGTTTCCTCCTACAGTTCAAAGATGTGCAGTTTAGGTGGATTTGCCATGCTGAATTGTCCATAGTGTGCAGGGGTGTGCAGGCTAGGTGGATTAGCCATGGGAAATGCAGGGTTACGGGGATGGATCTGGGTGGGATGCTCTTCAGAGGGGTGTTGTGTACTCGATGGGCTGAATGGCCTGCTTCCACACTGAAGGGATTCTATGAATTGTATGTTTGAAGGCAGAGGCATTAGTAGCAGGCACAGTACCTCGTACTTTTCCTTGCAATTATGTCATTTTTTAAAAGCATCTTTTTAAAAAAGATGTTCTTTGGGTTTGGGTGTCATGGGTAAGGCTGAAATGTATTGTCCCTTCCTTGTTGCCCTGGGAAGGTGATAGTGGCCTTTCTGTTTGAACTGCTGTGGCCTTTTGGCATTGGTGCCAAACAATGGTGGTTGGAGAATTGCAGATTGTTGATCAGGCAACACTAAGGTTCCTGTCTCTTCCTTCATTCTCTAACGATGCAACTTTCACATCACAGCCACTCTCATCCTCCTCAGTTTGTACATGGGAGGGAGGTCTCTGTAGCAATCTTGGTGAGTTATGTAGTGCATCCTGTTGATGTCACAGCCCCAGAACTCCAGTGAATTCACTAACATGGGGCACCTGTCAAGTGAAGTGCTCTATAAGTTTACAGACTTTCAAACAAAAAACAAACGTTAATATGTCAACCAAACTAGAACTATTGCCTAATGTTTCAATCTTTTGATGTCAGAAGTATGTCTGAATCCGTGAATTTTGTTAGCCAATTTACACTGCAAGTCAAACATGTGAAGTAAGTATAAATTTTATACACTGCAGGGTAAATTAAAAGCCATGATATTCAAAAATACTATTTTAAGACTTCTAATGCTCCTTTTTTTTTGTATTTCCATTTTCAGTATCAAATTTTAATGAGCTGGTGCCTGCATTTCAGTTTCTTGACACAGACTAGTTTGGAAGTAATCCAGTCTTTGATCTTATGTAAGTTGATTTCATGAACCAGGCAGCAGAAATCAGCTATAAATAAAGTCAAAGGAAAGGCTTGCATTTTTAAGAAATGTCTCAAGGTGTTTCACGTCACGAGTTACTTTGACGTCTTGTCACCACTATGTAGGCAAACTCATCACTGGACAAATCTGTCAGCCTCTGGTGACTCATTATTGAGCAGAAATTATACTGTGTTTAACAGTTGCAATATGCTGTTAGTTGGTTACAGAATAAAACATCAAGCGCCGAAGATTGCTGCCCCAATATTAGAATAGGAAAATGCACATTCACTGTCTTGTTTGCACACCTTGAGGACATTGCATGAGTCTGCAGTCACCCTAGAAGCGGATTTCTCCATGATCACAAATGACAATCATAGGTTCAAGAATGTGAAGGCCTACTTTTTTGTTGCGGACCAAGGGAGTCATTCAAATTTTTAAAAATTTGTTCATGGACTGTGGGCATCTCTGGCTAGGCCAACATTTATTGACTATCCCTTAATGCTAGAAAGCAATTAAAAGTCAATCATGTTGTTGTGGATCTAGAGTCACATGTTGGCCAGACCAGGTAAGGACAGCAATTTCCTTCCCTAAAGGACATTAGGGAACTAAAAGGGAGTTTTATAACAATCAACACATACACTGTCACCATCATGTTATCTTTGAATTCTAGATTTTTAATTGAACTCCAACTTCAATATCTACCATGGTAGGATTTGAACCCATGACCCTAGATCATAAACCTGGGTTTCTGGGTTTATCACTATAGCACACCTCTACTCCATTTCTGAACAATAAGTTTTGCCCTTGTTAATTGGTGCAGAGGAGATTTATTAGAACGATTTTAGAGTATGGGGGCTTCAGTTACATTGTGAATCTAGAGCATCATCGGTTGTTCTCCTTGGCACAGAAGGTTGAGGGGAGATTCCAACGAGATGTTCAAAATCATAAAGATTTTTTTTAATATAGTTGTTAAGGATAAACTGCTTGCAGAGGCAGAAGAGTCAGTAGCCCTGAGGAAAAGTTGAAAAATAATTTTCAGAAGAACCAGAGACAAACAAGGAGATCTTTTTTGAAGCAGTGACTTGCAAGACCACA